GGGGGGGGCACTGGTGAGATTGCGGCGGCATGTTTACCTTCGAGCAATCCTAGATCAACAGCTTCAATGTCTTCCCAATGATCCAGCACTAGCATCCACGGCCTTTTCAAATCTTCGAAAGTGTTCTGAATAAAGTGAACACGTTGGTGATGATTTGATAGCCTCTTTGATATAGATTGATCGATTTCGGCCACAATACGGGATACCGACGATTCCGCAGAAGTTCTCGAGCTCGCATCAATCCAGAGAAAACCTTGGTATGATTTCCGCCATTTTGAACAGTAGGAAATGGCAAGTTGACTTTTGCCTTGACCCCCTACAGCCGCTAACGCTACAACTCGCGAACCTGAGTCTTTCCAATTGTTGAAAAGAGACTCAATGGTTGTGAGTGTTTCTGGACGCTTTATGTAGTCCAGAACTTGTCGTGGCACGTTTGAATAAGGCCAAATAGTATGACTGCGTAATCCCGGTAACTGAGACCTTAGGTCATCACAGCCAGATCGGAGTGCCTCCTCGTCCTGTTCGCTCAACAACTGCTCGACCCAAGAGAAGCGTGGTTCAGCCGGCCAAGAGACTGGCAGTTTGGCCCCACATCCGCACAAAAGCGAGATAATAGCTCGAAGGTCGTCAACATTGTCAGTATATTGGCAGAGTAGCTTTTCCAAAGTAGCTGTACACGTCTCAGCCTTTGGGTTATAGTCGCAGAGTAATTTAAACAATGCTGGGTCGAATTGCGCTTCTGATAGGGCAACGTCGGGATCAGCACCGGCGTCAAGAAGGTGACGGATGACCATCAGGTAATCATCTTTGCGAGTTGCATCTGCCGACGGCCATGATTTGATTGCTGTAATGAGAGCGGTCTCTCCATTTCCATCGAGTCTGTCTACCATACTTCTGACCTTTGACTCGGTCAGGAAGAACTTGACAAAATGATGGCGTCCCAGTTCGGCGGCCAGATGGAGTGGATATGTCACATAGTCACCGTAAATAGGCAACATCAAGCTTGCCCCATGTGTAACAAGTCTTTGAGCGGTGGAAATTGAGTCGCGAAGGATAGTGTGCTGAATGGGTGGGCTCATACCAGGCCACGAGAGATCTGGATATGCTCCTTTCTCACATAAGCTTGTGACAAGTCCATCCAGCTCGTCCAAACCCGCAAGCCGAACAGCTGCCGACAGTAGGGTGTCGTAGCTTGAACCCGTCTCTTGAGTATTATATATCTTATTAATCTCTGCTGGGGTAATCTCGACAACCAGCTGTTGGAGAAAACTCTGTAGAGGTCGATCGGTACGTCTGAAGGAATCCATCGTGCGCACTGCGGTCTTGCTGCTGCCTCCACCATATGCACGCAACAGCTCCCTTGAAATGGCCAAGTTGTCCGTGGCCGAAAAGTTGATGTCGCATTGCTCGGTTCTCACCAGCCGATTCAGATAGAGAGAAAACCCAGGTACATCTGAATCTGTATGTAACTCAGATAGCTTCAGATAGAGTGCAGTCCACAAGATTCTCCGCTTCATTTCAATATCTGAAAATGATCCAAGAAGCCCTTCCTCAACTAGATTCGCAACAACTTCGGCGACAACATGATAAGCTCCACGGGTATCATCTCGAAAGACGAATTGATGTACGAGTTCTGCACCTGCCTCGGGACTCCTGCAATATTTGTATTGCAACACCGCATACACGTATTCTGTGTGATTCTTGCGAAGGGGTCCGGAGTAATGGTATTGCGTACGCACGGCCCAGGCCCAGCCCAACTCGGCAAAAGCTTTCGAAATCTTCGGAGGTAGTGGCTGGCGTGGGCAGCTGTGTTGAGGATAGGGGAAGCGGTGGTGGCAGATGTCGCATACTTGATCATTGATGGGCCCGGCACATTTGGAACATGCGAAGCACGCATATTGGACCCGACTCGGTGCACGTGCTTGTATTTCCTTTCCTTCGATCGCAGTTGTGCCGACATGAACCACAGCGGTATCCCAGTCTTCCACAGATGCCACATTTTGTGGTTCAACAGTCTGACCAACAAATACATGTTGATTGAGAGGCAGGCCGTCATCACCCACCAAGTAGACGACTCCAAAAGCTGCCCATGACGTTGGCTGCCAATTCACCGCGTATTTGTCAGCGTGGGCAAGAGCTTCATCCTTCCAGAGAATCTTGTTGTGGGGATCATCATAGCCTTCGGGATAGCAGTCACCGTATTTGATGTGTACATCAGACGAATAGAAATGAAAGATAGAGACGACGTGGAAAGTGCCTCTGATTTTTAGAGAAGGTAGTGCAACAAGATAGCTTCGACATTCGTTATGTAGACGTGACTTTTCTTGCAGTATATCTCCTTGTTCTTTCGCATCTTGGACGTGAGGAAACAGGTTGGGATCGAAATGAAAAGGCTGCGGCGCTTTGTCATTGGAGGTGAGGCTGTGGATCTTCGTTAACGCTTTTTCGTATCTCGATATCTAAATATTCGTCAGACAAGCGATAACGTGAGGAAATAATCTTTCATACTTGGTCATCCATTTCTCTTGTTCAATTTGGTAAGGACGAAGGGAAGCAGAAGAAGTGGTAGATGCGCGGGAGGCGCTGCTAGGTTTAAATTCACCAGATCCTGCGCCAAGCACTTCAAGGCAACGCGTTGACACGTGTCAGCATAGCGCAGAGAAGAGGCTCGGCTCTGCTCGGCTGTGCTCAGCCGTACAAGAAACAGTATCGCTCCTGTGCCCCATGGCTTGGGGTGCAACGACAATGAAAAGCTATTCCAGAACTCTTGCAACCAACACCTGATGTCGCTCTGAGCTTGCGGAGGACAAGGCTGCCTTCGGCACAATTCCGACCACCGTCTACAAAATCTATTCCTGCCTAATAATCAATCCTGAGGACAAACCACCTGCCGCTGTGCACCGTTCTCGAAAAGAAATCCTCCGAAGGCGAGTTTATGAAAGTTGGCGATCATATCGCAGAATGGAGTAATAACTTTCCGGACCCATGGATTCAATGACGATCCTTTGTAACGCGAGGCTGTTGATGCTGCCGCCCCGTTAGTTAGCTGAACCGCATGCGAGGGGAGTTAGCTGCAGCCACGAAATTGGCAGGTATCAGCTCCGTGGGGTGCCCAACCCCTCGAAAATATCAAATATTCAACTGGCTCAGAGACGTGGGTGCTCTTTGTCTATGTATCCTACATGACTCCTTGTTATTGCTTGTGTTGACTCTTCTCGCTTGGTGCGCGTCCGAATATTTTCCAAGCCCTTATAAAGCATACTGGCACCCGACCTCGCTACGCGTCGCGTCACCCCGCGTTGACTCAATCAGTCATGGTTCGACAGCATTCAGTCCTGATAACCGTGTCCCAAGCATTGGGCAATGCAACAAAGTTGGAAGCTATACATGGACGGTCGAAAATATACTCTGATTGGACGGGTACGCTGCGACGCCCTTGCAGAGGTGCAAAATGAGCCTACCATCAAATAACTTGTACCCCAAACCGTTCATCAGTATATGAGAGATTGATATCGTGTGGTCTATCGTGGAACATGGAAAAGATGGCTATAATTTGGGTAGGATCGCAGCCCGGCAGAACGTCTGCTGTTGGAAGCCGGGCTTGGTTCGACGCTGCAACCACATCCACGTCCCTGCTGGCATAGATGAATGATCTCAGCAGGAACGATACTGAACATATTCATCTAGACAATATCGCAATATAGTAATGTCCTTCGCAAGGGTAAGTATAACACGATGCTCTTGGTCGCTGGGTGCGGGTGCGACCGTCGGAGAGACAGATAATTCGAGACGACCCGCCGACCTCACAACCTCGACCTGCTTGAAGAGCAAGGAGCGCACCTTGTAGCGCTGTACGCCAATCACTTATGGCGCCAAATCTTCGGCCTCAGCAGCATGAGCAAATTCGGTGCATGCTTGAGCAGGGGTGTTTCACCAACCGTCAGATCGCGAAAGATGTTGGCTGTAGAGAGGGTGCCGTCAAAGGCATCAAGCGAAACCTTCGCAATTTCGGCGGCGTCAAGGCACCAGGTTGCCGTGCTGGACGGCCCTCATCCATCACTCCCCCGATGCGCGAAGCCCTCCTTGCCCATCTCGATGAACATCCCGAATTATACCTTGAAGAGATGGTGGCATACCTGTGGGATGAGTTTGGGGTTCGTCTGACACGATCCAGCGTTGGGAGGACATTATGTTCAGCAGGGTGGTCGAAGAAGAAGGCTCGTCGACAGGCGGCGGAGCAACATCCCGATCTGATTGACTACTACTTACATCAGATTTCCTCCCTCTACTCCTGGCAATGCGTTTTTGTCGACGAGTCCGGTTGTGACACAAGAGATGGCCTGAGGAGAACGGCGTGGTCTCCACGAGGGGTG